TATCACGAAATATTTAGATTTTCTTGAGACGACTTTGAAAGGACCTTCAAATGGAGGGCTAAGTGGTGCTTTTATTTTGTCACATCTTATCCAGACGTGCGTGCAATTGCTTAGGTCTTTAGGTACATATACGGCACGCGATTGTTCGCGAGTATTAATTGGCTTAAGTTTGGACATATGGTCCCGTAGTTGATCTACGTAGTTTCCTAAATTAAGTTTTTGACTGTTAGTATTGGGGTTAATAAATTCACCTGGTAGTCTCAGAGTTGTTCCGAAAACCAGTTCCGCAGCTGAACACTGTGCGTCAGTTTTGACAGATGTTCGTATTCCCAACATAACTAACGGTAGGAATTCTGTCCACTGATTGGGGTTTGAGTGAGATATAAGGGCGGTTTTTAGCTGACGGTGAAAACGTTCTACCATCCCATTAGCCTGAGGATGATATGCAGTGCAGCGTATCCTATTGGAGCCTAGAAGTTTAGCCAAGTTATTAAATAGTTCGGATTCGAATTGCGCTCCTCTATCCGTCGTTATTGTTATGGGTGTACCAAAAATGGTTACCCAGTTCTGCATGAAAACTTTGGCTACTGTTTCCGCTGTGATGTCCGCTATCGGGATGGCTATAGGGAATCTGGTAAATCGATCTATGCACGTAAAAAGATAATTAAAACCGTTTGAACGAGGTAAAGGACCTACCAAGTCGATATGCACATGGGCAAAACGTGCATCTGGTTGCGAGAAAACACCTATGGGTGAATTTGTGTGACGATTAATCTTTGATTGTTGACATGCTGAACACTCTCTAACCCATTTGTGTACATCCTTCTGTAAATTCGGCCATATATATCTGGCATTGATTAGTTTTGTTGAAGCTTTCGCGCCAGGATGAGACAAAGAATGAAAGTTATTATATATCAACTTTCGCATATTTTTGGGAACGAAAGGTCGCGGCATTGCCTTGGTCGTGTCACAATAAATTAGAATACCATCGATAGGTGATGGGAACTGTTTTAAATTAAGACTTGAATTGTTTGTTTTAAGTAGGTTTTGCAATTCTAGGTCCTGCTCTTGTTCGTGTCTTAACGTCTCGAAGTTTACTGTAGACTGCTGTAGCACGTTCATTTCTAGTCTGGATAAAGCATCTGCCGCCTGATTGTCCTGACCTTTGACATGTCGGATATCGCTTGTGAACTGTGATATATAGTCAAGGTGTCGGACTTCTCGAGGTGAGTATTTATCGGCTCTCGCTTTTAATGCATTCGTCAGTGGTTTATGATCCGTAAAGACTATAAATTCCCTACCTTCTAACATGTGTCGGAAGTGTTTAATGGTCAGGTAGATTGCAAGAAGTTCTCGCCCGAAGGTAGAATACCTTGTTTCGGCTGGAGCGAGTCTTTTCGAGAAAAAAGCAATTGGTTTCCAGGCGTTTTTAACCAGTTGGTTAAGGGTACCGCCTACTGCTTTATCTGAAGCATCCACCATCAAAGCAAGTGGGGAAAGAGAATTCGGATATATCAGCGTAGTTGCTTCAGCCAGTTTATCTTTAAGCTGTTTAATAGCTTCGATGGCGTCAGAAGACAGTTTGAATTCTTTTGGTTTCCCTTTAAGTGAATCTGTCAAAGGTTGCATTAATTGTGCACAACCTGGTATGAATCTGCGATAGAAGTTAATTAGGCCTAGAAAACTTCTCAGTTGTGTTAGAGAACTAGGTACGGGGTATTGTTTGATAGTATCCACTTCTTTTTTTATAGGTTTAATCCCTTCTGGGCTTATTGTGTGACCGAGAAATTCTAAAGTTTGAACACCGAAAACACACTTACTTTGATGTATGTTTATTCCATGTTCATTCAGTCTTTTCAACACTGCTTGTACATGCTGTTCGTGTGATTGCAAATCTGGGCTGGCAATTAACAAGTCGTCTATATACCCCTGCGCAAATGGCATATCTCGAAGTAGGTTATCTATGAATCTTTGAAATGTCTGTGCCGCATTTCTCAGGCCGAATGGCATGCGTACAAACTCGAATAAGCCAAAGGGTGTAGTAATAGCTGTCTTGGGAATATCTTCATCAGCCACCGGGATATTGTGATATGCCCTGACTAAGTCAATTTTAGTGAATATGTTCATACCCTGTAAACCGTTGGTGAAATCTTGGATATGAGGTATTGGGTACCTATCTGGTACGGTTTGACGGTTTAGGGCTCTGTAATCCCCGCACGGTCGCCAGTCACCTTCATTCTTCTTTGGGACCATATGCAAAGGGGATGCCCATTGACTATCAGAGGGACGGATGATACCCAGTTGTAGCATATAATCAAACTCGGCCCTAGCGATTTTGAGCTTATCTGGTGCTAGTCTCCTGGGTTTTGCAAACACCGGTGCACCTTCGGTTTTGATAGTGTGAATCACTTTTAGTTTGTCTTTAGAAGGCTGTGGGTTTGGTTTAGTTAAGTTTGGAAATTCCGCGAGTATATCTTGGAATTTCGCTGTTGCTACTGGTGGAGTTTGAATCAAGTTAAGAGAGTTGATGTGACTTTCTTTGCCTTTTGTGTAATACGAAGTTTCTTTTAGTGTTAATCGCCGTTTCTTGGTGTCAACTAGAAATTCGTATCTCTCTAGAAAGTCCATCCCCAGTATTGCCAGATCTAGGTCGGCTACCGTGAAAACCCAAGGGAATTGCCTCCTGAACCCCAAATCTAGGGTTAAAGTTTTCTGCCCAAATGTCGCAATTTTAGTTTTATTTGCAGCTTGAAGTGTAATTGATGATGTTTCTCGATTAATCTCAGTTTTATTTCGAGGGATGATGCTAAGAGCAGCGCCAGTATCCACCAAGAAATTCAAGCCCGAGTTTCTGTCTCTAACATAAAACAAGCGACTGTTTAGGCGCCCCTCCTCAGTCGTCGCGACCTGGGGAGGGGTTACTCGTTTCCCGCTGTCTTAGAATTATGCTTAGGCCAGGCGCATGGTTGCATGCACTTGGTTGAGTTGACACCAAACTTCCAGTGGTACCAACAAAACTGCCCAGATTGTCTGGACATTTGTGACCTGTTTTGTGACTTGGATCGTGGTCGTTGTGGTGACCTGCTCCTGTTTCTATGACCCATTTGCATTCTGATGACAGCCTCAGTGAGACTCTTAACACTCGCAATGAGTCCTTCTATTACGGGGTCTTTTGCTGATTCTACTTTTTGAGTGTGATTTATTGTGCCTGGTCCGGTTGGAGGACCTCTTTCCATTATTCTGTCGGCTATACGCGCTAAATGAGATAATGAGGTTTCAGGATCCTGTGCATCCAAACAGTGTTGGACGTAGCATGGGAGAGCTTGTATCCATCCTTGTTTTAGGACTGCTTCACCCACTGTGTTATCACCCACTAAGACTTGGAGGTGACGTAAAAACTGTGACGGCGACCGATCACCTAGTGTTTCACCTTGAAAAAGTCTTTGGATTCTTTGACTATCTGATAATGATAAACGGTTCATTATCTCTCGTCTTAAGATGGTGTATGGTTGTGGTGATGGTGGACTTAAAATCAAGTCACGGACTTCTTTGGCGGCTGAAGGAGGAAGGATAGAACACAAGTCTCTATAGCGAATCCCTTCAGATTTGATATTGTGTCTCGTAAAATAATGCTCTAGTTGAGCAAACCACAACTCAGGATCACTACGATCAAATTCTGGAAGTCCGGATTTCGTAGTCATAACAGTGTCTATCTCCACTGGTGACAAATCCTCCAGATTATGGGTTTCTATTGAGTCTGACATGAGGTATGTGACAAATATAGCAATAAAGTTAGCACAAAAAGTGGTTACTATAACACGAATAACTTAAGATAATACGGAATAAACTAGTTATATACTCAAATTAGTTTACGGATAATCAGGTCTACTTTTACGATTAAGTAAAAAAAATGTTAATAACAGAAATGAGGTTAAATTTGTGTTCAAAAAGGGCTCACCAGTTTCGTGCCTTAAGGTAACCCTCGTGCTATTGATAGAAGAAACCAGACAAGTAGTGAATAGGTCTTTATTTCGATCTTCGCGCGGTGACAGTGGAGCATGGGATTATCTGTTCAGACAAACAAAGGCTCTCAACATTCAATATAAGATAATAGGGAATATAACGCTTATACAAAACAAGGAAGTGAATGAATACTTGAACAATACTGTTTTGGCATATGCTTGGTTGTTTGGGGTCAACTCTGAACCAACCAACCTAAGCTGTTACACATGTATAGGGATCGCCTCCCTTATAGTTTTGTTAAGTTCAGAATTATCACCAGCATACATAATAGGTGTGACGTACCTGCTAAAACCACGTGGTAGTACCTTCATTACTGTGACGAATAGAGCAAGTGAGTCTATCTCGCCGTGCTCTTGTGAGTCAGATCCTATGTAGCTGAACCACACTTCGATATTATCGAGCAGGAATGACATGAGTTGAAGGGTGTGAGGCGAAAAAGTATCAATCTTAAACAGCTCCTGTGTCTGTTCAGTCATAATGAGGATAAAATATTTAACTGGGTAAAAAATATCCCACAATACAGAAGTAATATTCCGAACGTTATTGAGAAGGATACGTAGCGCGACGTGTCCACTGTTGATCCGGTGCTGATATGTAGCCGAGCGTCTTCAGCTAAGTATATCCAGTAAAACCAATGATGCTAGAATCAATGCTGAAGATTTATGAAACTTTTTGAGGGGTATATACTCAATATCATGTCTCATCTCTAGTGTTAAACTTATTAGCATGATCTGGATTCTTTGGAGGAACGCATACTGAGGTACTGAATTTTCGAACATCGTAAATGGTACATACAAAAGTCGTGAGTACTCAATATTCGTTAGCAGTATATCAAAATTATTCTTAACATGTACAACGAAGGTCATAATACTCGCCTTGTTTTAACGCCTCGGAGAAATCTGATCGTCAGTTAGTTGCGCAGCGTTTGACCATCTGAGCAACGTTCTGGATGGTTTGTAAAGGTTTTAGTTATACTTATGGATGTATCTGGTCAAGATACAAGCGATCACTGTACTAATTCATCTGAAGGACCTGTAACCGTCGCACAAGCAAGATATGATCCGTTTTTTACACGAAACCTAAGAGTTATTGAGGATTTATTAATTGATGAGAAACGATATCACAGCACTCCTGGTTTCTGTGTTTCACAATCTCCCGCAAGAACCACATGGATGAGACGATCTCTTCTTAATTGGCTTCGAGATGTAGGTTGATGTATTAGATTCTTACAACTATCATAGATCTGTATCCATCGTGGGACTGATGGTGAAGTTCTAGCACACACAGCACAGCTGATTGACCGTTATATGCACATAGTGCCAACTGAGCAAAATGAGTATCAACTTGTGGGTGCAACGTGCTTCTTCATCTCTAGCAAACTGAAAGAAACTGTACCTATAGCCTTAAGAAAAGTCACAGAATACACAGCCAATTCACTGACAGAACAGGATGTCTTAGTAAGGCTTTTTTTCTCATTCACTTATACTTTAGGCCAAAGAACTTACAGTGTGTATATCACTCATGTGGGACTTGACTTGCATTACCCCGGTAGATTTTGTCGCTCCTGTGGTTGAGTTCCTTGAGTTCGTACCTAGCTTGCGTCAAATTATTCGTCAGGCTGCACTTTGTATATATATTAAGGCTTTTCACGGTAAGAATTATATTGTATACTCTTTGTAATATTTAGATTCCTTTACTATTTGATAGAATCTGGTTATTTTGTGTGGAATATTACGTCACATTTTTCACTTGTGCTAACACAAGCAGTTACTTCAAAACTTAATTTGCATTATTTCTGTTCCAGCAGTATTTAGCTAAATGTATTCGCAAGTGTTTGCTCAGTGCAGTTGTCTCTAATAGCTGAGCAGTACATTGTCTAATTGCCTACAATGATGAAATATAATAGTATTTTCAAGTTTCACATCCGATGCTTCAAATACCCTAGTCGGATATTAATGTCTGAATATAAGTCGCTTGTCATCTTGGCTTGACACATTTTTACACCCTAGGTTTTTTTAACGAACCAAGGCTTTATCCTAGAAAAACTGGTTAATTGCGACTGTTCTGTCCATATGTATTTGACGCCTAATTGAGAAATATCTCGAAATTAGCGTTGCAGAAAAGCTATCAGCTTCGTTACTAGTATAACTAAAACTATCCGGTTTTCACCTGACGTGATTTTCAACACTAAGCAGTTACTTTGGATTGAGTCTAGCCTCATACTTATATATGACACTAAGCTCATAAATAAAGTTCACAATACTAAGGCCTTACATTTTTCGTTGATCATGTTCTGTTGATATTAACTTTCTAACTATAGGAGGTCTCGTAAGTTTTGCTGTAAACGTATGAAACCTTACCCTGCTAGTTTCTCTAAGTGCCATAACGAAACGCACTTAGGCGTTTTGCTGTCACACCACTGTTAGTGGTTGATCACTAATTAAAAAAAGCTGCTATCCAAGATTAATTTACCCTATCATGTGAACACCTTACAGGTAGTTCATGCTTCTTTCCAAGTGTCAGGTTAGTAATTATAAACTTGCAATCAGTGTCTTGCCATTCGTAAAATTTTCCTAATATCTATACCTCAATGAATCTTGACACCCAGTGTGTCAAATCGTCTGAAGCAAACCGTTTCCACTTGATGTTGCAATTTTATCACATTCAAACTAATCCTTCAAGTATTCACCGCTCATGATAAACAGGCCAGAGGTAACGGAATTAGCTGGGAAACCAAAAGCTTCAAGTGCGAGACCGTCGTAGTGCCATCAAGTGCTATTGTAACGTTGCAGTTAACGTGTTCTGCGAGTAGTATCGAACATGTTACCTCAGAAAAAAGATGGGATTGGAGAATCATTACATCCCATGTCGCTCCGGATCAGTTCACATGATTTTGTAGATTGTTTCTAGATATTCATACTTAGACTATTGATCCCATGTGACTTTTTTGCACTCTGAACTCATTTTCGTACCTCGAGATGTTCCAACGTGAGAGCACCAGGACGCCTTATGGTCCTCTAGTCCCTTCACGAAGTTGATTTCTGTATCGTTTTTGTTATCTACGTTCAATTCAATCCAGGGATAGATATAAGCAAATCAGTGCTAATTATGATACAAGTAGTAGTTCCGGTTTTTCGGGAAATTGTTTCAAGTCTTATGCAGCTGATGCACCCATTTATTTGTAGCTATTTTAACTTCACTGAGGAAATATATCTATCTGTGCTCTGTTTATATGTAAAAAGCCAAATAATCAGAAAGAAATTCAATGGTAATCTTCCGTCTGGCACTAGTTGGACCTATTAGTAAAATACGACAAACGTTGATAAATCAAGACAACCTTAATAACACCAAAATTTAGACGTAGTTGACTTTATCAGGTTATAAGCTGAGCACGAACGTACGCAATAACCGTAAGCACTGAAAAGAATAGCATGAGTGGGAAAAAGCTGTTGTGATGTGTAATAGTAAGTAGTTTTCAGTTCCCATGTTATTTATTGCAAAATCTATATGTGACAATTTGAACCGTCTGCAGTGACTCAAATGTAGTAAATTTCCACCACGTTTCAAACATTGATTTTCTAGTATCCATGCTTTTCATCCTTGAGTCTTTAATGTTCCCCAATTATATTTCCTGTTTGACATTATTTTGACTTTTTCTCATCATAAGGCAATGTGCAACAATTCGAACCGATGCACATCTCATATTCGTTTTATATATCATGACTTATCGCTGACACTACACGATATCAGTTCATGAGATCACTTGTCACCTACGTTGTAGCTGACTGACTGACTGAATCACTTGTCATATGGACGGTGAAAGACTTTCTTACTGGATTTTGTTGGACCCCGGACAATTGTTTGAAGATCATTGTCAGTAACATAGATTCATTCACTTTATAATCCTTTAGATCACAAACCTGTTAATTTTCTAAATATAATAAGGCATTTAGTGCTGCATGGTTATGCTTTACTATCTCATCGTTATACTGGTTCAATCTCGCGATTTCTAGTTCTCTATGCCTGCGCTACTCAATGTAATAACATTGTGAACCGATATTGTTTCATATCAAATGTTTTTATCAACTAACTAAGCATTCAATCATTCTCCACACAGTAACCTGGATTAAATCTAGTTGATTGTTGTATTTAAAATCAGGTCGAATTTTCAATGTCATCAGCACGTCTTATTAGGATTTCAATGCATTTATCCGATGACTTGTTCCGATAAGTCTTATTGTCAGTAATTTTTTTCTATTTTTTAGTTGAAGAAATTAGTACTTATATGCCCAGCTATATAGCAGCCGCATGTATTCTTTATGCTTTGAATCTAACTGTACATCGGGATTTAAGTGATACTGCTATCAGATCAGTCACCCGTATTCAGCGAATTTTAAGGCTTGAAGCAGTGAGTTCTTTTTAAATGTATTATTAATGGTTTTACATTTTATTTTAGTACTTCGAAAGTACCAATAAATAAATATTCTCTTAATAAAATTAAGTGATCATTTGTACATATTTCTCATTATGTATTCTGCAATTCTACACATGGATATAAGTCTCCAAACAAGTGCGATCTGAATCTCAACTATAATCTTCGCAAAACTCAGAATAAGTAAACATGTAACAAATGTCTGCCGAACAACTAATTTGTATCAAATCTGTGATATTTTGCAAATCAAAATTTTTCGCTAAACATCAATATGATATTTTTGAATCAAAACCCAATCAGTTGTATTTATTGAAATAAGTTATTATTTCAATTTTATTTGGAAGACTATCCTTTATTATACTCAGCCTGATAGCTTCTTTTCGAAATTTCATCGAGTATAGTTAACACATTAGAAAACATATTTTAAAATTTGACTATTTTTTCTTAGAGGCATCTTAAATTACTCTTTTCTCATCCATATATTTTTCTTTAAGTAGCATGTTACAAAAATTTTGAAGTAACTCGTAAAGCCCGTTATCCAAGTTCTTTCAAATAAAACGTTTGATTTCTCCACTTCATTTAATGAAGCCTGGTGTGAAGTTTAAACGCTTTGACTTGTTCCAGTAAATCCGCCAAAGTCTATAACAATAACTTGTGTAAGGTTACTCTAATAATAATAATAGATTCCTACTATCTGATACAATAAACATTTAACGTATTACTTATTCGCAAATATTGCCTGTTAGTTCGATACCTTTAATTGTTTCTGGATAGTTACAACTTCGCATCGCTTAAGGACATCATTGTAAAGAGATGATCCTTTAAAATACATCTCACCCATGCATACGTTTCTTTCTTTAGTGGTGCCGACGATATTTTTATTACTATGCTCCACATCTACGCTCACAAATACAGTCTTTTAATTCATAGCTCACATGTTTCCATACTTCTGGAAAAACACTTCTCATGATTTGATTACATCGTTAATGTGCTCAGTATTTCAAATTCTAGTGATTGATAAATTGACAGATGTAACTTAAACACTCACTCGTTCAGGATTTAAAACAGTACCAACTATGGGTTACATATTTTCTAAACTACAATTATTAAATTAAAAAAATACTGCTTAATTAAATTAAACACCATACTACACAAAATACAGTATTTGTTCACGAAGTTTGTCAAGATTCGGAAATTTCGGGGTTCCATAAGTTTTATTTATTTATTTGAACACAAATATTGATACAAGAGAGCACCAAATATATATGCGCCACACAAAACAATGAGAATGGGGAAAGAAAAAAGAAGGTAATAAGCGTGACAGAAAAAAAGAAGAACAATAACGACCAGATTAGTGTAAGGTACTGTGGCAATAATAATAATGGGGGAAACGGAAAGGTACAACCAGAAGAATCCTTTCAGTTAAGGAAGATACAACCACTTTTTATGAAGAAAGTAAAAGAAGGTTACAGCAGGATCGCCACTGGCTTCTATTCTGAGTCATATCTGATAACGTCTCTAGCCACTGTGTAGCACCATCTCTCGGACCCCAACCAGGGAGTCGTGAAGGACCAACAGAAGTCAGTCCTTTGCAGCTTTCCTTCATACCACGACACCATGTCATACACTGACCACCTCTCCGCTTCTTTCAACCAGTCCCAGAGTCAGCAAATAATGCACGACGTGGAATTCTCTGGGACGACATTCGTAGGACATGTCCAAGCCACCGAAGTTGATGTTTCAAGATAGTGACACTAATTGGATTATCGTCTCTCTGCCCGAACACACGTTGCCGAACCTCTGCATTACTAACATGATGTTGCCACTGGATGTTAGCAATCCTTCGGAGACAACGATGATCAAGCATAGAGAGTCGTCTAACATCCTCAACTCAGAGACCAGGATTCACAAGCATAGATCAAAACTGCTTTCACCGACGCGTTGTAGATCCGACCTTTTACAGCCAGACTAACATCACGAAGGCACCAAATGTGGCCTAGATTTGCATAAGCCGCTCGTGCTTTGACTATACGTGAATTGATCTCATCACTCACACCACCACCAGCACTTATGCAGCTACCTATGTATACGAACTTCTCGACTACTTCTATCTTCTCACCATCCAAGGTGAGTACAGGATTAGAATCCCTCCAGTCTTGTAGAAGTACTTTGCACTTCGAAGGTGCAAAGCACATACCGTACCTACGGACACGGATTGCCAACTGATTAAGCGCAGATTGCATGCCTTGGGCATTATCGCACAGTAAGAAAATGTCATCCGCATGCCCAGGGTCGAGGTACGTCAGTCAGTAACAACGTAGAATTTCGTACGTACGTACATCAGTTCGAGTTGCCACACCCCATTTGCACAGAGATGCAGTGGTCGATTCAAATCCCGTAGTGCTAGATGTAGCTAAATTATAAGCTGTAATCAGAAAAATTAGGGTTTGAAGATGTTATTCAAGGAGTATAATTCAGTGAAATAAATTTGGAAAGAGGAAAAAAGGGACATGAAGAATTCAGAAGATTAGAATTTGGGAAAACACAAAGAATAGATGCACCTGCACCATTGCAAACGATTTTGAACCATGTCATTCAAGATCTCTAACCATCGGTTACTATCATCTCGCGGTCCCCAACCAGGTAGTCTACACCTACCAACATGGCTCAGTCTACTTGTCAGTGACTTCACAGACTTGTGCCATGTTTTGGTCTGGCCGCCCCTAGCTTTCTTCCAATCTACTCCCATACCATTGAACATCGCACGTCGAGACAGTCGGTGGTCGGGCACATGTCCTACTCATCTCAACTGATGAAGTTTCACTACGTCATCAATTGATTTGCCATCCTCACCTAGTACTCGTTTCCTAACAACTGCGTTACTTACTCGATGGTCCCAGGATATACGAGCAATATTTCGAAGACACCTATGATCAAATACTAGTAACCTACGGATATCCTCTACTCTCACCGGCTATGTTTCACTGCTATGAAGTAGGACGGAATGAACTGCTGCGCAGTGAACACGTCCTTTGGTTGATAGACGGATATCTCACCTACGCCATAAATGACGCAAGTTGGCAAAAGCTGGCATAAATGACGCAAGATCGAGGAGTCTTTCTCCAGGCAATAGATCCACATCGCCATTACTTACATACATCAGAGCTGTTTCCAGAATGTCATCGATGGCAAAGTTGAAGAGGAATCGTGAGATTGGGCAACCCTGCCTAACCCCACTGCTCGAATGGAACAATGGAGAGAGGTGGTTGTATGCTCTCACTCTGTCTGAGGTTTTTGTATATAGGGCTTTTAGGATGTTAATAAACTTCTCAGGCACACCCTTCTTCAATAGACAATCCCAGAGAACAGTCCTATCCAACGAATCGAAGGCAGCCCTGATGTCAAGAAACACTACGATTGTTGGCCTTTGATAAGTATGGCGGTGTTCTAACATTTGGCGGAGGGTGAAGATATCAATACATCCTCGACCAGAACGAAACCCAGCCTGCTCCTCGCGAGTCAATCTTTCTCGGGTTTTGAACAACCTACGAAGTATGACGGAAGCCAATAGCTTGGACGCAATCGGAAGTAAACTTATCCTCCGATAATTGTTACAGGAACGATGTGAACCCTTTTTAAAGATAGGGACAACTATCGACGTATTCCATGACGTTGGTACACTCTCTAGTTCCCAGACCTTTGTAAACAATACAGTCAGTTCCTTAGTCACCACCATCTTTAAAAAGAGCCGGAGGTAAGTCATCTGGGCCCGGTAGTTTGTAGCGCTTCAAGAGTTGGAGCTCCTTGTATACATCTGCCTCATTTGGTGGATCAGTCGTCACCGGCCATATAGGGCAGAACAGTCTGACCGGTGTTGCCGGAGCAGCAGGTCAGTTGAACTGGCCTAAGTAAAAATGTTGATCCAAAGTATTTAGACCATTGTCATGTAATCACTTATTGTCAGCATTCATTGTTAAGGATTATGGATTTCTATTTTAAGAACCATGATAAGACATTTTGAGTTGTTGAAATCTGTATTTTTAAAGCTGCAAAAACAAATCTATATTTAATTAGATTATCTAACATACTAAGTTTTTTATTTTCTATTTACAGCGCAAAATGCGTGAAGCATATCAGATTCTTCAAGCTTGCTTTGAACCTGGAACTGTGCAACTATCAAATGCTGTGTTAGAAGGTGATATAGAACCCCCTGAAAGTCCCGTTCGTGAAGTACCGGTTCATCTTGTCCATCAATTACATTCCTCTTCTACAACACCAGTCAACACGACTGTATTACTTCCACTAGCGACTAGTATGTATATCCACCCACATCTTAACTCGTCTAATCAGTCTTCACTAACTTCTGTTGATATTCCTTCTCTATCTACCTCCATGGTTTTTGTAAATAATAGCGTAAGCTTTGATCGTAATTGTAAACCTACAACGTCCGCTTCTCTTTCAGCTTGTTCTACTTCATCCCCTCCTTCAGAAGCTGAAAATATGGGATTAAGTGAGCTAGAAAATGAACATTCTCGTTGCGCTTATATTAATCGATCCCGGTTATCTATGCCGTTAATTCATTATTCTCATTCTACCCAGTTTTGTCATCATTCTAATGTATCAGCTACTGATAAATTAAGCGAACGCAAACTGATCCCATTAGTTTGGGAAAATCCAGTTTCAAATCGGACAAATCAGTATAAGTAAAATCCATACATCCGTTATTGCATTTCAGTTCTTCTAAACAATCAGTCAGTTGTATTTATTAATTTCTTTACTTGTATTTCTTTGTATTTCATTTTTATGGGACAGTTGCTTGCTACTTTTGATAACCTTTAATCTAAATCAGTTTTCCAAATATATTCTCATTTTCGCTTTACTTAATTCCACAAACGCTGACACAAGCTGTCTACCCCATATGTGTTTCTTATAAAAGCTCTTACTTTTGTACACAATTATGTTTTTAATTGTGTTTGAGTGCACATATACTTGGTTATGTTCATCGGTTTACCATTCCTTCACTAGTTATGTGTTGGGTTTAATTTTTTTCGCTTACCGCTCAAAATTGTCGCAATAGTTAAAAACTTTTTATCCATTCCCTTAGCAAACAGAAAACAAACCGAACATTTCGAAATAGATCTATAGTAAGCTCAATGTTGAATATTTCCGTCAGTCTAAAGTCTATTGCTGTTAATCCATTTTTGAAGGATAAGCAATTTTCGTACGATCATTTAAGATAGTTATGATTAGCAGGTTGCCAGTGGTACTTATAAATAATCTTGAGTGGATATTTCATATATTTTAAATAGACTACCACCTATTCAACAGCTTTGTATCTGAGTATTAATAACTGGACAGCTGAGTTTCAGTTCTCTTTACCATAGTGTGATTAAATTGTGAAGGTTACACGAACTCAGTAAATTATGTATTCATTATTAATTTTCCCATTTATCTTTAAATTTCTGATAAAAGTTGCTTACGATAATGTTCGATGACTACATATAACAATAATAATTGTGTTATTGAAGTAGTCTAAATTGAGAACTGTTATGGACAGAAACAAGTTTGATATAAATATCCGATTATTCTCCAACTGAGTAAGGCGCTAAAGTTTCAGGTAAGCATTGCTGACATAGGTATTACCTACCGAGTTCACGACTTCTTTGACGTCGACCCGTTATTGAATACCGCAAATCTCAGTGTTAAGTCACTTAACTAGTTAGTTTCGTGACGCTGGTGATGAGTTTATTAAAGTGGATTCACTTAAAACGAGCAATCTTTATATCCTGTAATCCTTAAGTGAAATCTAACCGCGAAAAATCTTTGAAATGACATGTTTTGCATCCAAAGATATCACAGTAAAATGGTGGGTTTTTATTTCATTACAAATACGTACTGACTTCGTTACGCAAGTTTTATTAAAGCTGAAAAAACAACTATATTAACGAAAAGTTTTAATGTCAGGATTGTTATAAATTCCGTTATAGTACATGTCTAGGAAAACAGTCTCATTACTCTTCACACAAGCGACACGCGTAGATATACCACATACATACACTGATACTTTCTCTTTCTTACATATTTCATTCTAACAGTTGAGACTTTTCGCTATGTATTACATTCTCATCACCAAAATAATCAATGCTAATTAGCCTATGATTTAGGTGCTATAGTTTTTTGGAAAGAGTGGAATAACAGCCTAAAGTGTCCTTCAACCAGAAGTATCTCTAAAATGACAAGGGAGGAAAACGTGTCCATAAGCCTGTTTATCTGATTGGTAATCACCAACGAACACACGCAACATTCTGAAGACTTACCCGGAGTTCAATAAGCTGATATGGTGAGAGAAAATCCGAGATAGAACTACGATTAGGGTCTGGAATAAAAAATTTCCTTTCAGTATGCTGACTTAATTACTAAGCTACCACCGTTCTCATTCGTCATTGATGTTATCCCTACTTTTATATTTTTCGTTTTGCTAAGTCCTCGTTTTACCGATATATAGAAAGTTAAGCAAATGTTCTGGATTTTATTTTTTCTGCGGTTCCCATCAGTAATACTATCTAATGTTATTATGTAACTTTACTCATTACATCATTCAACCAGTGATGACCGTTAAGAATAGTCTAAGCACTTTTGAATTAGATATCATGTATTTTGTCTTATCGAAAACCAACCAAACCAATAACATTTAAGATACTCAGTGGGTTTACCTGACTTAATAACATACATATTTCAATAAGAAGGCATACACTTCCCAAATTGTTGATCTGGTCAAATCTATTGCATATTGATTCTACTCAATTTTGTCTTAATATTTCTAAGTATCTTGGTATAATCATTTTGATAGTCGCTGATTCAAGGCAAGAAGTGTTAAGTCTAAGTTTTGTGTTATTTGGTATTCATCATCAAGATCTTTCTGCAATCTTACTTTCTTCATACAATTCGATCTAATATCAGTCAGATGAACTAATGAAATATTTTGACCACAGCTAACCTGTATGACAAATATTTTCTCTGTATTAGTTAATGTCATTCTTGTCTATCAAACTATACAAGACCATTATAAAACCCCATAACTTTGTAATGTAGTTTTGTACATACTGATGAAAATATAACTATATATTAAACATATTGGGTAAACTATCAGGTCATCTTGATGTCTGGTTTTTCTATAGATAAAATACAACAAGTGTGTTTATTTGATTTTATGTGTATATTGAAATTTTCCATTTTATTTCAAATTCTATCCCTTTAAATTTGTTTGTTTTGTTTTAATTCAGTGATAATAAGATTAAAGATTCTTTTCATAATATTTAAGTTTATTAACAATAAAGGACATGGAATCATAGTTCAGCCTCTTTATTCTTATATTGAGTTATTCTAATGAAATTTTTTATCACAATGTATATCTAATTTTATTTCTACTGAATAAAATGGTTTATTATTATGATTTTTTTGATCATACTACTAATATTAATCTCGTTTGCATATATATATATACCCCTCTACTAAATATATTTTATTGAAATTAGTTTACGTTTATTTGAACCTGTCAATTATGAATAAATTTATTGTTTATAAGATCCAGTTATCTAAAAGTCAATTTTTTTATTGTAATCTATGGATCTGATATGTTCTTAGGGATGAATCACTAAGAATAGGACTTTAAGTTTCCCTTAGATGGTTTCAGAATTTTGAAAAATAAACATCTGAAGATAATCTATGGTCGTTTATTGAGAGGATAAAACCAATAGTTTCGTAAGTTCTAACTACCGTGTATTGAGTTTGTAGTAGGCGTCGAGTTGCGATTGACTATGATCACCACTACAAGAATATTGCGTACCAGATATTAGGTCTAATCCCTTCGTAGACCAAAAGGCAATTGACTGTCGTAATAGAATATATTCGTTAGCTATCTCGTGGTATCGAAATAATACCGAGATCGTGCCAAAAAGTACAAGCGGGACTACTTAGCGTAAACGAAGGAGGGCGAGGTCAGAGTCCACGGAAGAAGGTGTGGTTTCAGTACAGTTAAACAAACAGGTACAGTAAAACAATCACTGGTACAATTGGTTATAATAATACTTGTTTCCATTATACTAATCGTGCTCTCTTTATTAAAGTAGATCACTACAAGTTCTCTATAGCAAATTTGTGTAGAATAATAATAAAGCAGAGATAGATAGAGGCTAACAGTGAAGTCTAGGATACACGTTCCGTTTCAATTGGGATTCGTCCACTGGATGAACCTTTATCCCAGAGTTGATGTTCACTCCGGGACCCGAGCCCAGTATCGTTTACTTCGAACACCATTGCGTTATCCACTTAGTTACTGAGTTCAGATAGCTATTGGCTTTTGCAATTGGATGAAGTTTAATTCATTTTTGTACTGGTCGTTCAAATCTTCCTTTTGATGTTAAGGACTGCAATTAATGGGACTCTAAAATGAATTAAGTTATAATTGAAATTAGCGTTGATTCTCTACCTACCCTAAGCTTAAATGAATGGTCTTTACACGAAAGTGAATAACAATATTTTCAGAATACAATGTACTGACTATGTTTCGATCCTTTCTTCATCAGCTGTTCGGTTAAGTTTGCTTGAAATACATTTTTACAAAATCAGAAAGTAAATTCTGTAAAAGTTAAGGGAGTTTAAGATTAAGATTTTTACCATACTATTTATAAACAATTAAAACGAGAGATCTAGAATATTGATGACGAAACATGATTACATAATATAGCAGGGATTTATTTGATATGTTTGAAGAAACAAAACAATCATTCTAAATTGTAGTCAATTAAATTAAGGTTAATCCCACACGATGCGCTAGAAAGTTAAAGGTGTAATCTATATCTTACCAAAAATTACATAGTTTTAATCAACTCTATATCTTTGTAGATGATTCCACAAATTGACCATCCTATATGAATATACAGAAATGGATTTCCCGATAAACATTCTATTAGTATCAAGTTATATTTAACTAGTACCGTATTCAATAGATGTCTTCTGTGATAAAAGTGATGCGAAAAACCATGTCTTATAATGATTTCGTATTAAATTAGTTTCTTCGTCTCAGTAATTGATACAAGTCAAGTCACTCAAACTTGAAGTACTGTAATGAAAAGTTTAAATCTCTTTGCGGTTAATGAATAACTGAAAAAATTCTGAACATGTATTATTAAGAATAGGAAGCCTCACTAGTTATATCAGATGATCTTCTTATGAAGAATAAGAAGCAATCCAAAAAATCTGAGTTGTACTGTCTTAAGACTCATACTCATTTGAACATTCAGTACAAAGACATCAGCTTGATAGATGAGTGATATTTTGGAAGTTTTTTGAAGATAATAATTATTATTGAAATGTCTGTACAACTCATTCAAAAATTGTTTATAAAATCATCTAACCCTAAACCAAAACATTTTTAGTGAAAAGTATCAGAAGGGGTTTTGTGGAGATTGTAGCAATTCCAATAGTTGAGATCATGAGTCAATTGAAGCTAGACCACCATGGAAAACCTGGAAGCACTGGACGGCCGTTTCGTACTATCGTGGGACTCCTCAGCAGTGCGCATCCAAGACTCCGATTCTAACTCAGGAACTATCAGAGAGGTTCTTCGGTAGAAATATAGCTTTTCATCTAATTATTAGTGCTCGAGTGATGTCTACAACTAATCCAATTACAATTTTTGATAATCA